TGAGTTAGGGGCCCGGGGAACTCGTAAGTGGGGAGGCTCATGACCCTTAACTTTGGAAGCACCGAGCAGACAGAAGCACCTGCTGGCCTACTTCGTTCCCTCCTGCCCCGCAGAACACTCATTTATTTTGAACTTTCTAAATAGTTTTATGTTGGCCATTTATCTCTCTCTGTTGAAATCTATCACATTCCTGAGTGATATCATAGATCCTATCTGTCCCACACACATCGTATACCTACTGGGTCAAAAGCATGCCCCGGAGAGGATGCTGGTTACCAAGAGAGCTGAGTAGAAGATACTAGAACATCTATCTGCTTTCCTCAGCCAAGCACCAGCATGGCCTTCCCAGTCATTCCTTTGTGTGGCATGCACCATATCCTTGGCCAGGGCCCTTCTCTACTATGAGTCACCCTAGCTGACCAAAAGCTGAGGGCAAGGAGGTGTCAAGGAACACAACACCGCCCCAAGTGCTGACATGACAATGCTAGAGGGCTGTGAGAACCTTCAAGCAACCCACTAAGCAGGCAGCTGGCCCAGGACAAAAGGCTTTTGCAAGCATCACTGTCGCCTGGAGGAAGCAAGTGACCAATAATCGTCGGACAGGCACTGGATGAACCCAGTCTGGCCCATCAGCGCCCTGGGCATTTTTAGGAGATCAAGCAGCATTTACGTCCAGCAGAGGATGCCGCCGGGTCTCCTGGGTCTCAGCAGGGACTCGCCAGAGCCATCGGCACGCTGGGCGACACCTACAACATGCCAAGCAAAGGTCTGGGCCCGAGGGTCCAGCAGCAAAGCTTACATCTAGCGAGGCTCCTTGAGGTCCTTAGTGAGTGGATCAGAATGGAGCAGGGACAAGGAATCGCAGGAAAAAGGTTTGGAAAGAGGGACATGGGAGGGCAGATCAAGGGAGGAACGGAGGCGCGTCTGAGGGAGTTTAGGTGTGACGAGAAGGTCGTGGACCCAAGAGTTAATTGTCTTTTTTTTTTTTTTTTTCATTCTAGACTAGATGCAGGCACCCTGCCTTGCGCTCTATCTCGATCCCCTAAACGGCAGGGGTCAAAAGTCTACCTGGAAGAAACTGCTCCACACACTCAGGGTCCAGTGGGATCACATCTCTTCTGTTTCTACTCTCCTGTGCCCCACAGGCCTTTTGGCAGAAAGCCGACGTCTCCTTCCTGAGGTGTCCCCCCCAAATGTTCTATTATCCAAAAACGCAGGGAGGCTTCTGGAGTCCAAAGGGAAGGGTCGGTTCAGATTCCACAGGGAACGAGGATTGGATGCATCTACTCAAAGCCAGCCGCACCCCTAAGATGCTATAGCACTGCTGAAATGAGGTCCCGACTTTCCAGATTCTTCCAGGACTACCAGATGTGCCCGCTGCCTTGAGATCGAGGCTGGCCTACACGTGGGCTCCAAATACTGCCGCCCAGATCTTTTAAACCCATCCCCAGGCACGGCCAGCCCGGCAGCCTGCCACATGGGCCACCTCATGGCCCTGAGCATGGTTTTTCTTCATCGTGATCCACTCATAAAGGCTCCTCTCCTTTCCCCGGTCAGTGGGGCTGTCTGGACATTCTTGAAGGAAGATGACCTTCTGGGGTGTCCCCACCTTCTCAAACAAGACCTCTTAGAAGCTCCAAAGGGACCCACCTTTCAGTGGCAGGCCCCCTAGTGGGTCCTGAGATGGCCCCCTCCCAATGACTCCCGGGAACGTCTGCTAAGAGTAAGGAAAACAAATATAATCTCTAGTGCAACTTCGCACTTCAGGAGCAAAGTTTGGAAAATTGCAGGTTTGTCTTCTCTGCTTTACCTCCTTCCAGTCCCCTTCCTCCATGTCACTCCTCCCCCCATCCCGGACACTTTCCCCCTGCTGCACCTCCCCTTCTCCCCCCTTCTCCTCCTAAGCCCTTACTTTTCCCCTCCAAGCCTACCTCGGTTTCCCCTCTCCACAACCATCCTCCCACCGGCCTTATGTTGCCATTAACAAATTTGTTTTTAATCGGTAGTTGGAATTTCTAATTACAAATTTATAACATAAAGAATGGCAGAACTTTCTAGCTGCACAAGTGTTAGAGCCATAAATGCAAAATTACCAGAGAAGGCACTAAATAGGTGGTGATTGTTCAAGCAGAAAAACTCATTTAAATGATTTAAAAGAAGTTATTAGAACACACCATTTTCCCAGTGACCTTCAAATACTTATCTTCTCTGTAGAGTACACAGATTGTAATAGAAACCCCAGACACAGATCCAAGCATCTAACGAACAAATGCATTACTGCTGGTACATGAGTTCCTTTTTAAAAGTGAATTTAGTTCTTCTTTGTACCATCGAAAATGAAAAAAAAAAAAGCATCCGCACTATGCACAAGGATGTGAAGTAAAATCGCAAGAACTATAAGAAACAATGTGGGGAATAAAGCGGTTGGCAGGTGGAAAGCGCTTTCATGGACAGAGAGCGTTCTCTGGCTGTGGGCGGGGGAGAAACACATCCTGAGCTGGTGGAAGACATGCGCAGGCCAAAGGAAAGCCAACTCTCCACCGAGGCTTTGGAAACCCATCACAGCCTCCTCCTGGAGACTCTGCTTTCTCCTCTGAGTTGCCTGGGGGGTTTTGGTTTTGTTTTGTTTTTTCCCCCATCATCCAAATAAATTTATTCACAATCAGCAAACAAGAAAATTCCATTACAATTTTATTAAAATTTTGAAAAAAGTGAAAACAGAATAAAATGATTCCCTGGAATGTTGTAAAAACCACACCTTAAAAAAAAAAAAAGTCAGGGGCGTCTGGGTGGCTCAGCTGGTTCAGCGTCTGCCTTCCGCTCAGGTCATGATCTCAAGGTCCTGGGATTGAACCCGGGTGTCAGGCTCCCTGCTCAGCGGGGAGTCTGCTTCTCCCTCTGCCCCTCACCCCGCTCATGCTCTCTCTGTCTCTCAAGAATAAATTCTTTTAAAATTTAAAATTAAAAAAATAAATAAATAAAATAAATCAGTGAACTGCAAATGATTTTAATCACCCCCTTAGCTCCAAACTTGTATTTATTTTGTAACTAGCTGGAGACACCAACCCAACTCTTTCTGGAGACCATCAAAATTATTAATTTCTATTACAAAGAATGTATGGAGGTGAAATTCGCACAACAGGCAGCCCCTCCTGTGACCAGTGGGGGGGGCACGTGGGGCTTCGCGGTGCGCCCCTCTCTTCTCGCTTCTCCCTCGCTTTCCCCCAGGCGTTCTCCCGCCTGCCTTCAGGTGTTCGGGAAAGCACTTTATAAGGTCTAAAGATCTGGGAAAGACTAAAGTGGTCCTGCAGCTCCCGACTCCCACCCCAGCCCTCCTTCCGCTCTGGGCTCCCCCCACCCTCACCCCCGTTCCTCCCTGGCTCCGCTCAGCAGCCACGGTCCCCCCTTCTTGCCTCCTGCATCTCCTCCCCAGGGCCCCTTTCCGCCTCCCCACTTCTATCCATTGACGTCCACGCCCCACCCATGTCTTGGGCTCCCTGCAGTTCTCGTCATGCCCACCAGACTCTCCAGAGGCCCTGACAGGCTCCCTCCTCTCCGCCCCCCGCCCATCCCCCCAACCTGTCCACCCACCCACTCCATCTTCAAACTCCTTTGAGTTCTCCCTCCCCGGCACTTCCCCGCCTTGCGGGAGTTCCTACCCCAAGTCTCTGGGGGCGCCTCCGCAGGTGTTCCCACTACTCCCCTCCCCATCCATCCACCGCCCCTGGGTCTCTCAGCGCCCCCTGCAGGTCCCACTCTCCTTCCCTTTCTCGTGCATCCCCCCCATCTCAGCGCCCCCCGCAGATGCCCCCTCTACTTCCCCTCCCCATCCATCTGCCCCCACCCGGGTCTCTCAGTGCCCCGTGCACGTCCCGCTCCACTTCCCCTCCTCGTGCATCCCCCCATCTCAGCGCCCCCTGCAGGTGCCCCCACTACTCCCCTCCCCATCCATCCGCCCCTGGGTCTCTCAGCGCCCCCTGCAGGTCCTACTCCTCTTCCCCTCCTCCTGCATTGGCCCCCCCAACTCAGTGCCCCCTGCAGGTGCCCCTACACTGCCCTCCACATCCATTCCCCAGGTCTTTGTGCACCCCTTGCAAGTGTCCTCCTATTTCCCCTCCATAGCCATCCCTCCCAGGTCTCAGAGGCTCTTGAGGGTGCCCCTGCCCCTTTGGCTCCCCCAGCATCCATTGCCCCCTCTCCCTGGCTCCACCCCTTGTACGCCGAACCCCCCCCTCCTTTCCCGCCCCGCGCTTGCGCACTGCCGCACTTGACCCTCGCGCCCAGGCGGCCCACGGGCGGCAGGCAGTGGCGGGCAGCACGCGGCACGAGGCAGCGGCCACCGAGACGGGGTGGGCTGCGCGCCCAGGCCACGCCTCCCGGGTGAGGGGCCGCCCCAGGGACTAGACTCCTGCCCCCTCCAGAACACAGGCTGCTCCCACGTGGGCGGGTGGGAGAGGCCCCGGGCTTGGCGTGGATGGAAGGGGCCAGGGAGGGACTGGGAGTGGGGGCGCCCCCAGGCCCAGAGGGTGGGCTTAGCGGGTCTGAATGCCGGCTTGGCTAAGTTTGCATGAGCTAGAGGCTCTAGGCCCAAAGCCCGCGTGACGCAGATGGCGCTCAGTCTGGAATTGTGTAATGGTGGCAAGTTTGCTCAGGTCCCACCTTGCTAGCCCTAGTCCTAGCATGCGGGTTTGCTGAAAGCCCGCTCAGGCCCGAGCTTCCTAGGCCTAGCAGTGTGCACTGGCTCATCTGGGGCCCCACATTGCTAGGCCTAGCATTTGCATCTACTGAAAGCTTACTCAAGCCCAAGCTTATTAGTTCTAGAATCTTCTGGACTAACTCCTGCCTTCGCCTAAACACTGTTTAGGCTCAGTCCCTTCTAGGCCTAAGCTGAATCAACTTAGTCCTGACTCCTGGGAGGCCAGGACCTTGTCATGCCTTGCTCCAACCCCACTGTGCCCTACCAAGACTGCTCTCTTGTTTCTCACACAGGCCACGTCATGATGGCAGGCACTGAGATCTCTGTCCCTCCAGAGCAGTTTACCAGAATCAAAGCACTGGAGGTGATCCCAGAAGTCCTATTAGAGGAGGAGGAAGACGGAGGGTGCAGAGGGAGGGAACCCCCCGGCCCCGGAGACGTGCAGGCCCCGTGCCCCTACGGGCCCCTCCAGGCCAAGGTGCCGGAGGGAGAGCAAGAACCGCCACTCACCACGGAGGAGAGCGAGAAGCACATTCTGACCCTGCAGACGGTGCACTTCTCTGAAGACATGCAGCTGCAGGACATCAGCTGGCTCAGCCCGCAGCCCCAGGAAGGCCTGCAGGTGACGGTCCAGCAGGCCGGCGGCGGCGGGCTGCAGTCTCTGCTGTGGCTGGGCGAGGGGTCCCAGCAGTGCGTCGCCATTAGCATCCAGGAGGGGGTGTACTCGCTGCAAGAGACGGAGGTGATGGAGCTGCACGTTCTGGAAGGCAGCATGGCCATGGCCAGTGAAGAGAGTAAGTTTGTGGTGAGCCTGGCTGAAAGCGCTGGATTGCTAAAGGTATGGCTGGGACCCTCCGCGGGGTGGGGAAAAAACTCAGACTACCTTTTTTTTTTTTTTTTTTAGTTGCTCTTTGTGCACCATTAGGTAGGGACAAGCGAGTTTAAAAGTTGCAGTTTAAATTACACACAGTAAAAAGACCACCCAGGGACAATCTTGGGAGACCTTCTATTCTTTTCTAAGAGTTTAAAAAGTTACACCAAGGAGAATGCTACAAGGCGCGTTGTGTTTTTAAAAAACAGTGTTATGTTTCCTTCCCCAAACCCTGGATGCTTAATAATTATGGTGTCCACATTTTGGTTGCAATAGATGATCTTCTGTGCTTCTTTAATTCTGGTGTTTCTGTCTGTGTTCTATGGTTTTATCAAGGCAAAGAGTTTAATGGATTGTCATTAAGAGTACAGTATTTGTCTGAATGCTCACTTTTGTTTATTAGCTTGCGAAAGATCAGGAGGAGGGCCAGCTGCTGGCTGAAGGGGGACTCGATCCACAGGTGGGAGAGCAGCTCTTTTTTGTGGAAGCGAAGCCTGGAGATGAAGGAAGAGACGAAATTGTGCTGACCGTTTCAGACTTAAACGTGGAAGAACAAGAAGATAAACCTGCATCAAGTCAAGGACATGTTGAGAAAGCCACCTCTACAAAAAAAACAAAAAAGACGAAGGGTAGGCCAGCTCATGTAGCATAGGAGATCGTGCATACGAGGGGGCTGCCGTTCTTTAGGGGACCGAGATGGTGGTAAAATTTTATGTGGTTGACTTTTAGGTGCTTTCCAACTGCCAGGAAATGGGAGAAACTTTAAACTAATGTTCTGTGTTGCGAATCCAATCCAGAAGAGTTTGTGTCTTGGACACAAATGTTTTTAAAGCAGAGTAGAAACGCTTCTGCAAAGTGCTGTATAGACACATAAAAGGTGGGCCCTGATCTGCGCCTGGTTTGCAGCCCCACGGGGGGAGGAAGGATGGCGCCGGGCTGATGGAGGCAAGGGCAGGGGCCTCAGGACCCGAAGAAGGAGTGATGTTTAGAAGGCAGCAGAGGCACCCTGTAGGGAGGGGATGTTTAGGTGAGGCCAGGAAAGAGGACTCAGAAGCCATTAAGACTGGGCATCCCATTCTAGGCAGCTGGAAGCGGCCTGTGGGGGTAGCTCTGAAAGTATGTGGCTTCTTACTGATGGGGGACAGCTCCTCAGATGGGTGCTCAAAGAGGGAAGTTAGGCCAGGTTAGGAAAGACCTTGAAGCTCAATTCAAGTCATATTAAAATGCTGCATGGCAGCGGCAGCCCACGGGGGGAAGTTGACCCTCAAAAATTACTTGTATAGCTGTTTAGAAAATACTAGTTTCTCACTTACTTAAAACGAGAGCTCACCCCCCAAATCTCAGTTTCTAGCTCATTTGTACAGTGGTCTCTGGTCACACATGGCTGTTTCCTCCCAGCAACCGGTGCCGGGGCCGGGAGGTGACTCTGTTTTAAAAGTCACACTGCCTGTTCTTCCTGTGTGTGGTTCAAGTCATTCATTTAGGTTCATGGCCTCTGGCTTCAGTGGCTTCAGTGGCTTCAGTAGGCGGCTGAGTTTGCAATCTTTGCTATAATATGTATACATATATATCATGCTTCTCTTGTATTTAAATCAAGAGATCATACTCCCAAATTCTCAATTCTTAGCTCATTTTATTTTTCATCTATTCACAATTGTGTGCAACCATCCCCACTAATTCCAGGCTCTTTTCATCCCCCAAAGAAAAGTGAGACACAGGGGCACCTGGGTGCCTCAGTGGGTTAAGCGTCTGCCTTCGGTTCAGGTCATGATCCCCGTGGTGCTGGGATCGAGCCCCAGGTCAGGCTCCCTGCTCCGTGGAGAGTCTGCATCTCCCTCTTCTTCTGCCCCGCCCCCCTAGTGCCCCCCCCCCAGATAAATAAGTAAAGAAAATCTAAAGAAAAACAGAGAAGTGTACCTACTTAGTAGTCATCTCTGGACATTTCTTTAAATGGACTTACATACATAAATGTGGCCTTCTGTGTCTGGATTTCTTCACTTAGTGTTATCGGTGCTTCATTCCTTCATCCCTGAGTAGCCGTGCATCATGTGGATAACGCAGTTTTTGTTTCTCCATCCATCCATCCATCACCATCTGGGCTGTTTCTATGTTTTAGCCAGTGTGAGGAGTGCTGCTGGGAGCATTCACATACAGGTTTCTGTTTGCACGCTTTTTTCCTATTCTTTTGGGTGTGTACATAGGAACAGAAAGGAATTGCTGGGTCATATGGTCGGTCTGTATTTCAGTCTATATTTCAGTTTTTGAGGAATTCCCGGTTTCCCCCGGGAATTCCCCCAACAGCTACACCAACTTACATTCCCCCCCCCAGCAGTGTGGGAGGCTTCCAGGGTCTCCGCACCCTTGCCAGCACTTCTTTCCATTTAAAAAAAAAAATTAGAGTCGTCCTAGTGGAGATGAAGAGTGACCCCATTGTGGTTTTGATGCTAATGATGTAGGAAGATGGTGAAAAATTAACTGCAAGATGATATATTTTCATGTGCTTATGGGCCATTTGTATGTCTTCTTTGGAGAAGGGTCTACTGAAATCCTTTGCCCCTTTTTTAATTGGTACCTGTATTTGTTTCCTGGCACTATGGCAACAAAACACCACGCATTGGGTGGCTTAGAGAACAGGATGGTGTTCTCTCACGGACCCGAAGGCTGGAAGTCTGGGATCATGGTGTTGGAAGGCTCTAGGAAGGGATGTGTTCCAGGAATGTGTTTTCTCTCAGCTTCTGGAATTGTCCCAATCATGGCATTTTTTTTAGCTCATAGTTGTGTCACTGGTCTCTGTCTCTCTTGTCACGTAAAATTCTCCCTCCCCGTGTGTGTCTACCTGTGTTTCTTCTCCCCTTCTTTTAAGGGCACCAATCATACCCACCCTCGTCCAATATGATCATCTAAGCTTGATGACATCTGCCAAGGTCACCATTACAGATATTTGCCATTAGGACTTCAGTGCATCTTTGGGGGGATCACAATTCAACCCATAAACCTTCTATTTCAAGTTTGTTGGGTGTTCTATCATGAAGGCCACTGGAATTTGTGAAGTGTTTTTTCTGAATCTATTGAGATGATGGTGCTTTTCTTCCCCTTCCTTTTGTTAATGTGGTGTGTTGCACTGATTGATTGTTGTATGTTGAACCATCCTTCCATTCCTGGGATAAATTCCACTTGGTCCTGGTCACAATCCTTTTAATAAGCTGCTGGGTTTGGTTTACTAGTATTCTGTTGGAGATTTTCCCATTTATATTCATAAGTGGTATTGGTCCATAGTTTTCCTTTTGTGCCTTTGGCTTTAGTGTCTGAGTAATACTGCCCTCATGGAATGAATTAGGAAGTGTCCTACTTTTTTGTGTGGGCACTTTGAAAAGGATTGATGTTAATTCTTTAAGCTTCTGGTAGAATTCTCCAGTGAACCCTTCTGGTCCTGGGGCTTTCTTTGTGGGTAGTTTTTTTTTATTAATGACTCAGTCTCTTTATTTGCTACGGGGCTATTCAGATTTTCTACTTCTTGAGCCAATGTTGGTAGTTTGCGTGTTTCTAGGAATTTCCCATTCCTTCTGGATTATCTGGTTCTTTGGTATACAGTCATTCAAAGTACTCTCTTATAACCTGTCTCATTCTGTACAGTTGATAGTAATGTCCCCACGTTCCTTCCTGATTTTGCTTATTTGACTTTTCTCTTTTGTATCTTGGTTACAAGTCTAGGTAAAGATTTGTCAATGGTGATCTTTTAAACGAACCCACTTCTGCTCTTACCGGTTCTGTTGTTTTTCTGTTTTCTATCTCATTTATGTCCACTCCAATCTTCATGATTTCCTTCCTTCTGTTAGCTTTGGGTTTAGATTTCTCTTATTTTTCTAGTTCCTTCAGATGTAAAGTTAGGTTATTGATCTGAGATGCTTTTTCTTTTTCAGTGTAGGTGTTTACAGCTAAAAGTTTCCCTCTGAGCACTGCTTTAGCTGCAGTCTGTAAGCTTTGGTCTCTGGTGTTTCACTTCCATTCAGCTCAGAGTATTCCACAGTGTGGTTTTTTTGTGATTTCTTCTTTGACCCATTGGTCATTTGTGAGTGCATTGTTTAACTTCCACATATTTATGAATTTTCCACATTTCCTTCTTTTATTGATTCCTGATTTCATGTCATGATGGTCAGAGAGCATATGATTTCTATGCTTTTTTTAATTTATCGACATTTTTTCAAAGATTTTATTTATTTGAGAGAAAGAGAGAGCACGAGCCGGGGGACAGGGAGAGGGAGAAACAGACTCCCCACTGAGCTGGGAACCCAGTGTGGGGCTCGATCCCAGGACCCCAACATGGGGCTCAGTCCCAGGACCCCGGGACCATGACCCAGCCAAAAACAGACAGACGCTCAACTGACTGAGCCACCCAGACGCCCCTGATTTATCAATATTTGTCGTGTGACCTAACACATGGTTTTTCCTGAAAAGTGTTCTGTATGCCCCTGTAAAGAACGTCCATTGTGCTGTTGTTGGGTGGAGTGTTCTGTAGATCCGTTATGTCTGTTTGGTTTATAATGGTAAGTCTTCTGTTTCCTTGCTGATACTCTGTCTAGTCTTCTCCATTGTTGAAAGTAGAGTACTGAAGTCGCCCACTGTTGCTGAAGTGCTTCTTTCTACCTTCAGCTCTGTCGATTTTTGCTTCAGGTATTTTGGGGCTGTGTTATTAGGCACGTATATGTTTATAATTTGCCTGCCTTTGTGATGAATTCGGTCTTTTCTTGTTGTATAATATCCTTGTCTCTTGTAACAGATTTTGTCTTAAGTTTGTTTTGTCTATTACTGGAGTTTGCATGGAATGTCTTTTGTTGGGTTACCCCATGACGCTAAAAAAAGGACGTGCCAAGTTACTTTGCTGTGTTTCAGTGGAATTTGAACATCTCAAGGAAGACTTTTACAAATCTGTAAACTCTCTATCTTCTTCTTCCTGCAGAAATAAAACGAACCTTCCACTGTGATATCTGCGTGTTCACCTCTTCTAGAATTTCGAGTTTTAATCGTCATATGAAAACTCACACCGCTGAAAAGCCCCATATGTGCCACCTTTGCCTGAAAGCCTTCCGCACCGTCACTCTTCTGCGGAATCATGTCAATACCCACACAGGTAAACCAGAAGAGAAGGATCTTTCCGTTAAGGATAAGTGTTAAAGTTATATACGAATGCGAGATCTACCTATCTGCACATCAGAATAACATGTTTGGTTTCACTTCAGTTTTGTCTTCAATTTTGCCTAAAAACATCAAATGTTATAAAGATTTTTCTCCTATATGTCTGGGGTATTTGTGATTATAAAGGGTCTCTTCTTAATTTTTAAAGCATTCTGAAACTGAGTCTAATTTATAGGTTATAAATTCCTAGGAAACTGTGTGGTTAAGTCTTGTTTAATAGGATAAACTATGGGATTTTTCAGGAACCAGACCCTACAAGTGTGGTGACTGTGACATGGCGTTTGTCACCAGTGGAGAACTTGTCCGACACAGACGTTATAAACACACTCACGAAAAACCCTTTAAATGTTCCATGTGCAAGTACGCCAGTGTGGAAGTAAGTTCACTCATGTACTTAAAGCTTCATGGCGCTCTTAGTAAGAAGTTGACGTGAAAGTTAAGCTACGCTAATAGAATCTCTTACAAAATAGGTTTCCCTAAAGATATTATTCATACAAAATCTATGCAGGAAATAATACTCATTCTATTTTCTAAATTTAATATAGGAAATTGGAGGGGCACCTGGGTGCCTCAGTAGGTTAAGCATCTGACTCTTGATTTCGGCTCAAGTGACGATCCTCGGGGTTGCAAAATTGGGCCCCGCTGGGCATGGAGTCTGCTAAAGATTCTCTCTCTCTGTTGCCTATCCCCTGCTTGCCCTTCAATAGAAAATTGAATTTTTTTCTTTGATTCCGAATTAGTGAAACTACAGCAAAATTACAAATGAAATTACTTATACTTGAGACATGTTTCTCAAATGTGTTAGAAAGTCCTATCTGGTGTTTTATGGAGTGTACTCTGTTCTACAAAATCCAAGGGTATTTGCTCTAACAGAACACAGAACCAATCTGAGTTTTCACTGCAGCTTAGGACCTTTCCTCAGTGGCACCTGGTCAGATGCAAAACAACTTGTGTGAAGAATCAGACGTGGCCCATTTCCTTTCTTAATTATAGAGAGACCACCTTTCTCAAACTTCAGTGATATGTCATGGTCATTTCAGCCAGACTGTTTTATTTATACCTTCTGGCTGGCTCAGCACCACTCCAGATGGAATGACAGCCGCCTGGGACACTTACTCTGCAAAGTCAGCTCCCTACAAGGAAGGGTTAAGGGCTCCGTCGCGCTCTGTTCGCGCGCACGCTGGGTCCTGGGTCCGAGCCCAGTTGGGGACAGATCACACACATTGGGAACAGAGTTAAAGGGGAGGGCTGGGGTTTATATACAGTCGTGATGCAACCACATTTCGTAAACGAGGGACGCTCACAGACGGCGTCAGGATTTGGTTCCAAGAATTTTTTCCCACTATTACTATTTTTAAAAATTACTTGTCATCGGAGTTAAAGGTGGTGGCTGTGTGTGGAAACACACAGTGAAGGTTTCAAAGCACAAAGCCACCGGAGACTCCTTGACTCGAGTGGCCCCCTTGTTGGTGCCCTGCGTGTTCTCAGCACAAGCTTGCGTGCCAGCGGAGACCCTTCTCGGGGGTGGGCCATCCACACGCAGGTCCCTCACCTCCATTGAGGGACGCTCTGCCACTGCTCTCACCCCTTTTGTGCAGTTTCCAGGCCCTGCCCTGCTGCTCTGTTGTAAGGGACAGGGGTAGTGGCCTAAGCTCCCCCAGCACTGTCCCTTGACACTGGGGCCAGCAGGAATGTATCCAAGCTGCGGGCAGGTTACCACACTCCCACCGGCTTGTGAGCGCCCCTCATCCCCTGCTCCCTCTGAAGCCACAGAGGACGTTTCTGCACAGCTGCTTTTGCCGCCTGGCTCAGCAAACCTTTCATGCTGCAGTTGTTCACACTTTCTGTTTTGCCTTCTCATAGACTCAAAGACGTCCACTTTGCTTCTTTAAATTCTAAGCTGAAGCTTTCCATTCGGACCTTGTTTTCTGTTCTAAGTCTTCTGTTGTTCTCGAATGTTCTCCAGGCTTATGAATGCTTGTCCTATACTGGCGAGTCAGACTGAGCCTAGCCTTCCTGAGATCGCAGGCAGGGCTGATGGCGGCTTTCTGACAACAGCCGCCCAAGGCAGATAAGGGCCTGCAGTAAGTGCGTACAGAAAAAGAACAGTTCTAGAAGGTGATCAGTCAGGCAAAAAAAAAAAAAAGATCAAACGGAGGGAATATGCGGTTTGCCTTTTAATTAATCGCCTGGGATGTGTAATTAATCAGATCAGAAGTTGCTTCCTTTTACTTAAAAGTTTCTTCTTATAAAGAAACCACTAACACCTAGAACTTGCCCTTAACTAGAAAGGGAGGCCTCTCTCCACTCATGTGCTGTTGCGGGTCCACAGAACTCGTAACTGTGAAATGCTTCACAGGGATGGTGTAGTACATTGAAGACCCGCTGTTTCAAGGCTCCCGCTTTATTTACGCCAACAGATGTCTTCTTCTGGCCTCTGCGAGCTGATCTGAACTTGCTTTGGAAATGAAAACCAAATCCTGTATGGCTCTGAGCCGCTAGATTTCAGTGTTCCCTTTGTAAAGTGAAGTTGAGTCTGAGAGTCTCTCGAAATTACCGCTCATTACCCACCAAGGACCTCAGATGCACACATCAAATGGAAAACATCAGGGTGGAAAATAAAAAGCCATGACTGGTTCACCATGTTGGGCGCGTGAAATCCGCGCTGACGTTACGTAGGAGCAATTTCCAGATCTTTTATCATGCTGATTAATGGAAGACTCTCAGGACTCTTAAGTGTTGATGGTGCTCCGTGCCCCTTGTTTGTTTCCCAGGCCAGTAAGCTGAAGCGCCACATCCGCTCACACACGGGGGAGCGCCCTTTCCAGTGCCTTCTATGCAGCTATGCCAGCAAAGATACCTACAAGCTGAAGCGGCACATGAGGACGCACTCAGGTAACGCCGGCCCGCGCAGGAGGCCCCACGGGTTCGGCACGGTGTCCCTGTTTCAAGGGATCCTGGACAGAATGTTCCTCGAGGCCCATGGGAAGCTCAGATGTCAGAGCAAGTGTCTTCATTCTTTCTGACGTGGGGAGTTTGATCCGCACCTTTATGTGTGCTTAGCCTTGGGGTGGGGGGCCGTGGGGAGAAGCAGACCGCCGTCCCGTGTCTGCCTCTGGGGGTGTGTCGGGGATTTAAGTCCCCTGGTAACGGACCCTCCAATTTTAAGGCAGAACGTAAAGTGTGCTGGTTTTGGAATGCGCTTAATTTTTTATTTATTTTTAATGGATCTATTGTTGACACATACACTAGTTTCAGGTGTACAACAGAGAGACCGTCCCATCACATACTGTACCCGATGCTCATTGTAGGTGTGGTCCCCTTCTGCCACCGCACAAGCTGACATGTACAACGTGAATACCACCGACTACGTGCCCCAGGCCGAGCTGTTCGTCCGCGTAGCTTCTTTATTTTGTAACTGAAAGTTCATACCTCTTAATCCCCTTCATCTCTCGGCCCGTCCCTCAACCCCGCTCTCCTGTGGGAATCCCGAGTTCTCTGCATTTATGAGTCTGTTTTGTCTGTGTTCTTACATAGATCTCACATATAGGTGAAATCCTATGGTCTCTGCCTGACTTTTTCACTTAGCGTAACCCCCTCTAGGTCCGCCCATGTCGTTGCAAAGGGCAAGATCTCATTCTTTTTTGATGGCTGAGCAATATTCCATTTTATATATAAATATATATACACACCACCTTTTTTTTATCCTTTCATCTTTCGGTGGATGGTCGGTCTGCTTCCGTATTTCAACTGTTGTCGGTAACGTTGCAGTAAACATGGGGGGGCATATGTCTTTCCAAATTACTACTTTTGTTTTCTTCGCATAAATACCCAGAAGTGGAATTAGTGGATTATATGGCATTTCTAGCACTTACTTTATATATATTTTTTTGTATGAAGACTATGTTTCCGTGTATGTCTCATTCTGTACACCAGGGTGGGAACCGGGTGGCCCGCAGACCAGTAGCCCCCAGATGCTAGGAGGGCCACCTGTCTGGGCCACTGTCCACACAGCTGTACCTGATGTAACGTTGTCTGGGCTTGATTTGGGCATCGGGCTCCAATCGTGGGGCTAAATGTACAGGGAACCGGGGTTGAGAAAGGGGCCTTGGGGATAAAAGAAAGGCTTTCAGCTCCAGGGGGCTTTGGAGAGGATCCAGGCTTGCTGGGCGAAGCCCCCGTGCAGAGGGTCACTTTCGTCGTCCCTGTCACAGGTGAGAAGCCGTATGAATGCCACGTGTGCCACGCACGCTTCACCCAGAGTGGCACCATGAAAATACACATCCTACAGAAGCACAGCGAGAACGTCCCCAAATACCAGTGTCCGCACTGTGCCACCATCATCGCAAGGAAGAGTGACCTGCGTGAGTGTCTGGCTTAATGAACTTCCTTTAAGGACAGCATTGGTTGGCTCTTAGGGGGACACAGCCTGGAAACCCGTGGAGCCCTGGGCCTGATGACAGGGAGGCCCCTGGTCTGCAGGACCAGCTCCTCAAGAGGGTTTTTTTCCAGAGGTCCTGTGGTGCCATCTAGTGGCGAGATTGCAGAAGTGTGGGTTCATGGCTTGTTTTGGGAGTCCTGGCCTAGAGCCCATTCAGTTCCAGGTACACCTGCTAAGCAGTCACGGGTATTTAAGCTCCTAAAGCACTTCCACGGATACTGTCTCATTCCATAGTAGGCCTGTTTTTACAGATGATGGAGGGGCTTAGAGAGACAGCATGCATTGCTCCACGGTCCCCTAAGCTGGGAGGTGCCAGGGTGCCAGGAGGTGTCCTGGAGGTAGGTTCTGACTCTGTTAGTGTTCTCATCAGTGATACTCTGCAAACCTTTCTTAGACTCTTGCTGTGATCCTAAAAAGTTCAGGGAGCCGAGGTTACAAAAGGAAGAACTTAAACAGCCCTCTCTTTAGGGAACTCACTTCAGTAAAAGAGGCCAGCCTATGGTCTGAAATCCTTGCTGTGATATGGTACACCCTCTCAACGGCAAGAAACATCACAGAGCAAAAATGGAATGTACCATGAGTGACTCTGAATGCCAGATTTAGGAGTCTGGGTTTTGTCCTGCCCACAGGGAAAACCAGGCAGTATTTAGGAGTGGGAGCAACCTGTGAGTGAATGAGCCTCCTTCCTATGTTTTGGGGCTTCTGGGCTTCCCATTTTCCATGATCTTACTTCTCTTGCCAAAGCGTGTAACACTCAGAACATGCTGGCACAAATACAAGTCACCGATTTGCCCGGAGAAATTCTGGAGATGAGATACACGGTTTTGAGAACATTTCTGAAAGAGTGAGGGTGTTTTATGAAGCCTTAACTTTTCTTTTTTTTTTTTAATCTGGAACATTCTGTCAATGTTACTGTAGTTATTGGCATGCCACAAAACACAGCCCAGTGGGACTTTGTAGGGTACAAGAGCCACAAGCCTGTTGCCCAGAAAGGAAACAGGGCTTTGACAACACGAAATGATGTAGGACACACCTCATTTCAGTAGGCAGCCCACTCCGCGTACCTGGTAAGATGCTTTGTGAACCAGTGAAGTCTTCCTGCCCCCATTGGAGAGATCAGGCTCCTCAGTGACTGAGTCAGCACATCGCGGGTGTGCCTCCTTCAGGTGTCCATTGGGGTTAGCCTTTTCCACAAAGGACCACAAACCACCATGCATTAGACTCAGTTCAACAGAAATTATTCTAGAGCGTGTCCAATCAGACCTCACTGCGAGTCCTAGGTCAGTTACTACAGAGGAAAAAACCAGGGCATTGACTTCCAACAGAACATCTGGGCTTTTTTTTTTTTTTAAGATACAGAGGTTATATGTTTTTAATGTGAAACCACCTTAACATTATCCTAAAAACCCGCCCGCACCATGATAAGGTTCTCGAGGTGCTTTGTTCATTGAACACATTGGGTCCGATATGCCCCAACCTAAACGGCGTCTCACTCTTTGGTGAAAAGGGTATTCAGCGGACTCGTCAGAATGTGGTGCATTCTGAGCAGCAGGGCCCAGTGGGGAAGGATTTCCTTCCCTGGGAGGCAGTTGGCAATATCTAGAGGCATTCTGGTTGTCACACCCGGGGAGAAAAGGATGCTACTCACATCTACTGGGAGGAGGCCAGGGACACTGCTAAACTTCCTACAGTGCCCAGGACGGCTCCCCCAAGAAGAAACCAGCTCCGGGTGCTAGTAGTGCTGAGATCCAGAAGCCCCAACACAAGGCTCGGGAGAGCAGCTAACAGAAATAATACGGTTTCAGCACCTACCGTTCTGTCGCTACTTCAGGTGTCCATCTGCGCAACCTGCATACTTACAAGGCCACAGAGATGAAGTGTCGCTGTTGTTCTGCTGTCTTCCATGAACGCTATGCCCTCATTCAGCACCAGAAGACTCATAAGAACGAGAAGAGGTTCAAGTGTGAATACTGCAGTTATGCCTGCATGCAGGTACTAGGTTTCGGGCAATTTGGGGAGGCAGAGGAAGGCAGCGGTGTATGCAAGAAGGGCGAGTCAGAAGGGGATCCTCTGTCACTTTGAAAATAATGAACAAGGTCATGCTTTCTTGAAAGATGGTGTTCAGAATAACCAGAAAGCAGCCAGGAGCCAATACGTCAAAGCCACAGTTCTTAAAAGTATGGTTGACAGGGGTGCCTGGGTGAGGCAGTCAGTGAAGCATCCAGCTCCTGGTTTCAGCTCAGGTCATGATCTCAGGGTCATGGGATTGAGCTTCAAGTCAGTCTCCACACTCGAGGAGTCTGCTTGAGGATTCTCTCTCCCTCTGCCCCTCCCTCCCTGTGCGTGCTTTCTCGTTCTCTCTTTCCTCTCTAAGATAAATAAAATCTTAAAAAAAAAAAAAAGTATGGTTTACAGACCCCTGCACGTCCTTGAAACCAGTCAGGGCCGTAAATCAAGATGATCCTTAACTAACTAATGCCAACACAGTATTTGCCCTTTTCGCTATGTTGACATGGGTGGTGATGGTGCCAAGGCGGTGGAGGTGCATCAGAACCAAGCTGAGCAGTGACACGAAGCAGGACTGGTCTCTGCTGTGTTCCTCACAGTCCTATGCTGGCTGCAAAGATAAAGGGCAGTTTTCCTTAAGACTGTTCTCGATGGGGCAGTGACAGTTACCGGCTTCGTTCAGTCTTGACCCTGAATACTTGTACTGATGAGGTACCACTGCCATCTCCCGACAAACCCAGTGGCTGTCGGGAGGGAAGCTCCTGGCACATCGTCCGAGTTGCCAACTCAACTAGCCACTCTTTCCTGAGCTGCTGTTTTCACTTGAAAGAACGAGTGACAAACTCTGCTGCTTCCATCTCAGACATGTGGCAACACTCTGTGCCTTTTTGGAAAGTAAATAAAGTGAGTCAGTCACTTCAAGGAAGATGTGTTGGCAAAGATATGATTTCAGCTGTCACAAGGAAATAAACAATTAGAAGTTTGCATTTCCACCACCACAAGCTTGACAGCTTGCTAACACTGGAAGACTTTTTTTTTTTTTTAAATGATTTTATTTATTTATTTGACAGAGAGAAACACAGCAAGAGAGGGAACACAAGCAAGGAGAGTGAGAGAGGGAAAGGCAGGCTTCCCACGGAGCAGGGAGCCCGATGCGGGGCTCGATCCCAGGACCCTGGGATCATGACCTGAGCCGAAGGCAGATGCTTAACTGACTGAGCCACCCAGGCGCCCCTTGAAGACTTTTTTAACGAGACTTGAGCGACTTTAAGAAAACATTTCTTTATACGGTGTCATGAAATGTGTCAACAGTTAGAAGATCTCCATAGCTCAATAAACTGAGATTTACCAGATGACCAATCAGTCCGTTATTTTACAAAATCATGCATATGGGTAAAAGATTCACTCAAAGTATAAGAAAGATCAGTGGATTGAAATGGAATGGAATACAAAAAGGACCCCACATGCCCTTCCACCCACCCTCTTCCCAGGACAGCGTCGCTCAGTCCCACCCTGGGAGTCAAGGTCCCACCAGGGCCACGCTGTCCAGGAAGGAAGGTGAGGGCTAGAGGCAGGTGGGGAACAGGGTACCCATAGGAGGGAGCCTTGGAGAAACACGGTCAGTTCGGTTACAAACAGTAACAAAGAAGTGGGCATGTGTCTCCTCTGCGTGATCCCAGCATTTTAAATAAAACGGGTCCTTTTGCTTGACCTTATATATATTTGTGTCCTGCTTCTCCAAATTATTTACTGATGTAAATCTTAGTTAAAATTTCTGGTTATTTCTTTGCTAAGAAAAGTTATTATCACTGTTATGCTTTTAAATACATATTAAGATTTGTCCTAATATTTATCAGGAAGCAGGAGGGGAAATACTTAGAGGCTTAATATTCTTCCAGCCCCAAATAGCCACTGACTTGAAACTCTGGCATTAGATTTTTTTTTTAATTATTTATTTGAAAAAGAGATCTCGAGTGCGTGAGCAGGGGGAGGGGCGGAAGGAGAGACTCTCCAGCAGACGCCCCACTGAGAGCAGATCCGACGACCCTGAGATCATGACCTGAGCCAAAACCAAGAGTCGGATGTTAACCGATCAAGACACCCAGGCTCCCCTCTGACATTAGATTTTTGTGTTCAGGCTCTATCTGCCCTTTGTAAACTCAGGTCATTGCAAATAGTTACAGAAGTCGGGCTGCAAATCCCTGAGCTCTCTTGGAGGGCCAGGTGATTATTGTTTCACTCTGCAAGGAATGTTCCGCCGCATGCCCCGAGCTCACTGGTGGCTTACAGCAGGGTGGACAAGTTTGGTTCCTAGATGGCCAGACTGTGCCGTAACCCTAGCAGTGCCATCCTGACAATGTCTATGCTGTCATTTATCTTAATCATATGCTCATCGTTGGGGAGGGAGGAAAGGCATATGATAAATAATGTCAAGGACTAAAAAAAATCCCCATAGGTAGCTCAGCTGCTTGTCTTCCTCCCCATCCCTCCTAGGAACGTCATATGACCGTTCACATACGCACCCACACTGGAGAGAAGCCGTTCCCCTGCCTCTCGTGTGATAAATGTTTCCGACAGGAGCAACTTCTAAATGTGCACTTCAAGAAATACCATGATGCCAATTTCATCCCGGCCGTTTACGAATGCCCCAAGTGTGGCAAGGGCTTCTCCCGCTGGGTAAGCTTACTTAAGTCACAGTAAGTCCTCCTCGAAGAGGTTCCTCTGTTTCACGGGCGCTGACACACTCAGGGGTTTAAACCCAATTATAGAAACTTGTCAGGGCTGAAGGCAGCATCTGTCCTGCCTTAGGTAAGTGGTTATTAGTTTTTTGGAGTCACAGAGCTCTTGAAAATCTTATCAAAGTGTGGTCTCCCCTTCCGTGAAAAAAGACAATTCTGCAAACAAAATCTTACAAATCGTTTTAGGGAATTCTCATACTCCCCAGAATCTGCAAAGACTCCTGCTTTAAGTGTAGCATTTTAACATTGTTCCTGTGAATTAGATTTAGGCTATTTCACAGAGAGGATGCAATTTTCAAAATCTCTCAGAGATGTTCTTAGAGCGGTGTTGTTGGTACTCTGATAAGAAATACGTTTAGTCTTCCGTGTTATTTTTTTTTTAGGCGCTGTATTATTTATCTATTGCTATCTAACAAATCACCTCAAAACTTAGTAGCTTAAAAAACAACAAATGTTTATTACCGCACATTCTCTGTGGGGCAGGAATTTGGGAGGGGCTTGGATGGATGGGTCTGGCTCGGCGTCTCTCATGAGGTTACAGTCAGGATATTGTCCGCTGGGGGCCACATCACCCAAGGCCTGGCGGGGCTGGAGGCTCCACCCCCAAGATGGTGCCCTCCCCTGGCTGTTGGCAGGAGGCTTCAGTTCCTTACCACGTGGACCTCTTCATTGGGCTGCTCGAGTGTCCTCATGACCCAGAGCAAGGGGGAGAGGGGGAGAGAGCAACTGTGCCCTTTGTCAGCTAGTTTTAAAAGTGGCCCATTACTTCTGCTCATTAGAAACGAATCACTAGGTCCAGCCCACATTCGAGAGGTGGGGGGCGGGGTTCCTTTTGAAAGGAAGAGTGTGGTCATTGCAAAACAACGACAGATGATGAGTCAGATCGCTAGACAACGTATGCGCTCCCGGCTAGCTTTTATAAAAGTTTTGAATTATCTGAAGTTGACTCTTTACGGGGAGAAAGCTTTATCTTTTCTCTTTGTGGTTTTCTGGGTAATTCTGGAGTGTTAATACTCCTAAGTTCAACTTTTCAAATACAAGTAGTGGCAACACTCCAAACACAGCGTTCATACCGAGTTAACATTGTAAAGAGTCAATATTGTAAAGAGCCTGCCCTTTGGTGTGAAGAACCAGAAAACAGAGAAAAGAATGAGTCTGCCTCATAGAATTCCTCAGAACATACAATCAGAAGTTTTGAAAACTTTTCTTGCGTTCAAGAAAGTGTATTTGGACTTGCATCTAGAATACAGGCGTACCTTGGGGAGAGTGTAGGCTTTAGTTCTCCAGTAAAGCACCTCACGATAAAGTGAGTCAAAGGAATGTGTTGGTTTCCCAGTGCATATAAAAGTTACAGTTACACTATTGCTATAGTCTATTAAGTATGCAATAGCATTATGTCTTTAAAAAAAAATATGTACCATAATTTAAAAATACTTCACAGCTAAAAAGTGCCAACCATCATTTGAGCTTTCGGCAAGTTGTAATCACTGATCACAGATCACCATAACAAATACAATAACGATGAAAAAGTTTGAAGTATCGCGAGAATTACAGAAGTGTGATGCAGAGATAACAGTATGAGCTTTCTGGAAACAGCATCAGTAGACTTGCTCGATGCCAGATTGCTACAGACCTTCCATTTATAAAAAATGCAGTGCCTACAAAGTGCAGTAAAGCAGAGTATGGTAAAATGAGGTGCACCTACATATAAAACCTCTTACAGTGTAAGGATAAAAAGACAAATACCCAATGAAAAATAGGCAGAGGATCTAAATAGACATTTCTTCACACAAGATCTACAAATGGCCTATAAGCACATGAAAAGATGCTTAGCGTCATTCGTTGCTCGGGAAATGCAAAGCAGAATTGTAGCGAGAACATGTAGGGCCAGCCATGGGGGTGACTACAGTCAAAGGAAACTGATAACAAAAGATATGGGAAAATCAGGCCCTCCCACAGCGCCGGTGGGATCTGAAAATGGTGACGCCACCTTGGAAGATAGTCTGGCTGTTTCTCAAAAAGTGAAACATAAAGTTAATGCACAATCCAGCAGTCCCACTCCCAGGCATATACTCAAAAGGACCACACAGAAACTTGTACGCAAATATTCATAGCAGCGTCATTCATAAACAGCTCCAAAAAGTGGAAACTACCCGAAGGTACATCAACCAATGATCGGATAAAACATTGTACATCCATGCAATGGAATATTACACAGCCATTAAAAGGAATGTGTACATGTGACAACGTGGTGAACCTTAAAAGAAGCCATATATTCTGTGATTCCCTTTCTAGGAAATGTCCAGAATATTCACAGAGACGGAAGGTAGCTTAGTGGTTGCCAGGGGCTGGGGGAGAAGAAGACGGAGAGTGACTCCTAAGAGCGTAGGGTTTCTTTTTGAAATGTTGTTCTGAAATTGATGGTGGTGATGGTTTTACAACACTAGGACTAAGCCACTGAATTACACAATTTAAATGGAAGAATTGTATGGTATATGAATTAAATCTCAATAAAGCTGTTAAAAAAATTAAATAACCCGTTTCCAGTTCCACTTGGAAGTTGCCACTCTGTCCTAACAACAAGTAAACACCTGAATAGATTGAAAAATCAACTCTTCTAGGATCTGTAGGGAGAGGGGAGCACACAGGGCCAACCACCGCCCCGAAGAATGGAGACGGACAGGTGAACACTGAGTCACAGGTTCCAGAGCAGAGATTCGCGGGCAGAAGCCACCACGGGAACCAGCGCCGGGGCGGGAAAACCTGAATGGTAATTGAGGACTTGCTGGAGGCTCAGGTGGACAAGTCCGAGAGTTAGAAACTATAGTCAAAGTCACAGGGGCCCCCCACTGTACGGGGGGTTTTACCACCAGGAGCCCAACCAGGTTCCCACAGTGAATGTCAGAAAAAGAATCCCCTTCTGCTTCCCTCCAGCCGGGGAAAGGGGAGGAAGTGATCTGAAATACCCCAGAACCTTCTGTTCTCCTTAACAAGGTCTCCCTCTGGGGAAACTAGTTCACCAGAGCCTAATCTGCTGGGGTATCATCAGAACTAAGTGACCCGGTGGAAGGGAGATACCTGACTCCAGCCCACGACAGCCCTCTGGTCCCACCTGAGGTGGAAAATAAAAGCAAGAAACACTTGTGAGGTTCACGGTCCAGGAGCACAGCTCACGGACACGGTGAGACCCGGTCACAGGCTACAGAGCACGCCCCCTCCCCCCACCTCCCCTGCACGTTCCCAAAGCCCTGTTTACTGCAGCTCCTTTTCCCCAGGGCGTCAAGTCCAGCTATCAGGAAAACTTAGTAAGTCATCCCAAAAGGCAAAATCACAGTTTGGAGAGACAGAACAGCAAAAGCAGGCATGGCAGGGATGTTGGAATCATCAGGAATTTAAAACAGCCCTGATTCCCACGCTAAGGGTACTAGTGGATAAAGTAGACGGCACGCAAGACCAGGTGAGCAGCATGAGCAGAGAGATGGAAATCCTAAGAAAGAACCACAAAGAATTGCTACAATGGAAATGAAAAATGCTCTGATGAATGAAATCAAAGAAAGACTGTATAAATGGAGAAAAATAGTCCATGTTTATGGATAAGAAAACAATGTCAAGATGTCAGTCCTTTACAACTTGATCTATAGGTTCAGTGCAATTCCCATCAGAGTCTCCGCACATTAGGGGCGCCTGGGTGGCTCAGTCGGTTGAGTGGCTGGCTCTTGATTTCGGCTCAGGTCATGATCTCAGGGTCGTGGGAATCCGTACTCAGCGAAAATGAAAAATCTAGAAAGAGACCTGACACCCTTCACTAAAATGAATTCAAAATGGATCACAGACCTAAAGGTAAAATGCAAAACTATAAAACCCGTGAAGATAACAAGAGAAAATCTTGTTAGGGTTTGGCAGGGACTTTTCAGGGACAACATTAACGGTGCCATCCATGACAGAAATCATCCGTAAGCTGGCCTTCACTAAAATGCACGACCTCTGACTCGAGAAGACAAGCTACAGGGAGAAAAGATACGCAAAACTCACATCGGATAGAGGATGGTCATCCAAAATACACAAAGAACTCTTAAAACACAACCCTAAGAAAATAGATAACCTGATTTAAAAAATGGGCCAAGGATTTTTACAGACCCCTCACCAAAGAACATGTACAGGTGGCAGGTAAGCACATGAAGAGATGCTCCACGTCGTACGTCATCAGGGAAATGCAAATAAATCAAGACATCACCACACACCTATCAAAAATGGCCAAAGTCCAGAGCCCTGAGGATACCAGACACTGGCCAGGCTGTGGAGCAGACCAAGCACTTGGGCGTTGCTGGGCGGCATGCAAAATGGTGCAGCCACATTGGAAGACAGTTTGGTGGTTTCTTATAAAACTAAACATACTCTTACCATGCAATCCAGCACTCACACTCCTATTCACCCAAAGGAGTAGAAAACTTACGTCCACACAAAAACTTGCACCTGGATGTTTATAGCCGCTTTATTCATAATCACCAAAACTTGGAAGCAACCAAGAAGTCCTTCAGTAGGTGATGGATAAACAGGTCCATCGAGATAAGGGAGTAGTGTTCAGGACTACAGAGAAATGAGCCATCAAGCCATGAAGACATGAAAGAATCTTAGTTAAGCATATTACTAAGTGAAAGAAGCCAATCTGAAAAGGGTACACACTGTACGATTCCAGCCATAGGGCATTCTGGAAAAGGCAGAACTATGGACACAGTAACGAGATGGGTGGTTTCCAGGGGTTGGGGAGGAGGGATGAACGGGTGCGTCACGGAGGAGTTTTAGGGCAGCCAAACCAGTCTGTGTGATACTAGAATGGTGGATATGGTCATTATACATTTGTCCACACCCACCGAACAAACACCACCAAGAGTGAACCTCAGTATAAACTGCGGGCTTTGGGTGATTGTGATGTGTCCATGTAGGTTCATTGATTGTAACAAAAGCATCCCCCGTTCTGGTGAGGATTCGGATAATCAGGGAGGCTGTGTGTGGTGGCGGGGGGGCAAGGGGCATAAGGGAAATTCTGTCTCCCTCTCAATTATGCTCTGAATCTAAAACTGCCCTAAAATATGAACTCTTTAAAAATAAAGAAATATGTGCATATCTGGATACTTGAATCCAACTTAATTTTTAGAAAATACGTCGTTCACAAACTCCCATTCTTTAACACGCAGTGGTTTCCACACCAGAATGTCGTAGGGCTGTGGGCGCCTTCCTTCCCAGTGAGGACCCCTGCTCTGGATTCCAAATGCTGGGTCCCTCCTCTCTTGAGAAACAGTCTTCTGACGCGTATGTCTGTCATATCACTCTGCCCCCTGAGTCCTAAATAATCTAAATGTCATATTGGTTTACTTAAAATCTTAGTGCACTTACTTTTTAAAGGCTGGATGTGTTTTTGGTTGTTTATTAATCCAAAGCCGATGTCCAGAGTCATTAGCCATGAGCTTCATGAATTTGGGGGGAGATGGTGTGTATGTGTGCACGAGTATGTGCTTTGCTGGGGGAGAGGCCATTGCGATCATATCCTCAAAAGAATCCTTGGCCCCAAAAGGCTCCGTTTGTGCATGATCATTGTATACATCAGGGATTGGCAAACTTTCTTCTGTATAGGGCCAGGTAGTAATATTTTCAGCTTTGCAGACCAGTTTCTGGCCCAACTACTGTTGTAACACAAAAGCATCCATAGATGGACAATTCATAAACAAATAGACATGGCAGTGTTCCAGAAAACTTTATATATATATATATATTTTCTTTTTTTTATTTGAGAGCGAGAGAGTAAGTGAGAGAACACAAGCAGGAAGAGTGGCAGAGAGAGAAGGAGAAGCAGGCTCCCCACTGAGCAGGGAGCCTGACAAGGGGCTCCATCCCAGGACCCCGGGATCATGACCCAAGCCGAAGGCAGACACTTAACACACCGAGCCACCCAGGCACCCACCCCCAGAAAACTTGTTTTTCAAAAACAGTTGGCCGACTGGATTTGACCCATGGACTATCATTTGCCAACCCAAAATGGGAGAAGTTTCAGTAACCTGTAACATCCCCCCTCCACTTACACATGAATCCTTCCCCTTCTACAACCAGGACAGTCCAGCGGAGCACCATGCTGAAGCCAAAGTAGAAATTAGGTGCGAGATTTTATATCATCAGCAAATTGACTGACACGTCACCAGGATCTTACTTTCCAAATGAACTTCCCAAACAGTGAAAGATTCCTAACTTAAGTCATCCTAAGTGTTCCTATGTAAGAATGCATCGTTAATCGTCTTGACCGGGAAATCTGTGACTTCCCTCTTAATTTTGAGTGTTGTGTATACGTTCAGTAATTCCATGCGTGATAGGTCAGGAGAGAGGTTGGCAGGGCAGTAAAATTCATACGGCGTATGATTGATTTTCTTAAAATTGACAGTCTATTGAATTTCTGGTTCAACATCAAGCCTCACTTTGGAGAGTAGACGCATTCTAGAAGAATAGATGTTGTCTTCTCATTGATTTCTATGATAAAAATATATATGTTTATTTTTATTTTATTTTATTTATATTTACTTATATATAAATGTGTATATACATATATATTTATAATAAATTTGCATATTTAATAAATATACTAAAATAATAAATATAAAAATTTATGTATATAAATAAAAATATATATATTTAAAATAAGCTCACTTTTGGCTAGTCCTAAACACAACAGAGGGGTCCCCTTTTTTAAAAAGCCACCTTTTTTGTACAAGAATATACCAGGCATCGGGCGCCTGGGTGGCTCAGTCGGTCAAGCTTCCCACTCATGGTTTTGGCTCAGGTCATGATCTCAGGGTTCATGGGATCAAGTCCTGTGTTGAGCTCTGTGCTCAGTGCAGAGTCTGTTTGTCCCTCTCTCTCTGCACCTCTCCCCACTTGAGTGCGCTTTCTCTCTCAATCTAAAATAAATAAATATCTTTTAAAAAAAGAAAGAAAGAAAGAATATACTAGGCACACGTTTCCCCACTTTCCAGCACCTGGGTCTTTACCTGTGGGATTCTAAATGGCATTCCGTCGGGGCTGCTGACTCCCCGCGTGCCCTGTGTCATTTCTCCAACAGAGTAACATGCAGAGACACTCGGCGAAGTGTGGCTCGGGGCCAGGAAAGCCAGCTGCCTTGGGGAAAGCGAGAAGAACCAAGAGAAAGCCAGCCGTCCCAAAAGAGGCAGTCCAGGAAGACGGTAACTCTTTTTCAACAAACGGGGTTCTAATCTGGGAGTGATTTTCTTGGTATCACGTCCTGGGTGCTGCGTGTTACCGTGCAGGGGACGCACTGGTGTGTCCTGGGCCCCACTCTGTGGCTGCCCCCTGCCACCTTGGGCAGATTTTGAACTTCATTTTGCCCGGGTGGGTCCCTGGCGCAGTGGGCTTTATGGCTTCTGCACCTGTCAGAGCTGCAGAGCGCCTCCCCCCCCCCGGTTGGCGTCCACACCCCCCGTCACGGGGGCTCCTGGCGGGCCAGGCTGCCTAGGCGGAAGACTGCCCCCTCTTGAAGCTGGCGGGCTGTCTCCTGTACCTGGCAGGTGCCGTGTAAATGTCCTGGGGCTGCTGCAGCAGTGACCACAAACTGAGTGGCTTTAGAACAACGCAGGCTTACCGTCTCTTAGCTCTGGGGCCCAGAAGTCCTAACTCAAGGTGTCAAAAGAGCTTGTGCTCCCTATGAAGGTTCTGGGGAGATGCCCACCCGCCTCTTCCAGCTGCTGGTCTCTCCAGGCGTCTCTTGGCTTGTGGACACATCACCCCAGCCTTCTTCCCTGTCTGTCTCTCCTCTCCTTTCCAAGGACACTTGTCCCTGGACGTAGTAACTGGAAAATCCAGGATGATCTCATCTTGAGACCCTTAACCTAATTATATTTTCAGAGATCCTTCTTCCACATAAGGTTACAGTCACAGGTTTTGGGGGGTTAGGATGGGGACCTCTCTCTTTTGGGGTCACTGTGGGCATCAGAGTCTTTATCATTGGCCTCAGGGGGGCAGACGTGGGTTCCCAGGTTAGAGCAAAAAGGGCCTGTGTCCAGTCTGCCCTGTGAAAGGCTCTGCTCCATGAGGGGACAGACCTGACTCTTCGGACATGTTCTGTTACATTGTCCATTCCTGTCCTATGAGAATCTTAGAACTGAAAAGCATGGCTGGAAACCACATGACCTTATCGCGTAAACAAACGGAAAATGTTTGCATGACATCCTCATTCTTAAATCCCCTATATTTTGATCCCAGCCCCAATCCTTGACTAGTGAATGTTCCCCTGGATAGCAGCCAGGCTTTTCCTTGCTTCAGAGTTGCCAGATAAAATAGGGGTTGCCCAGCTAACTTTGAATTTTGGATAAACAACGAATACTTGTTTAGGGTGAGTATATCCCATCTGCTACTTGAGATATACTTGTACTAAACAGTCCCCCTGTTTGGGAAGTGGGTGGTGGGCCTGGAGATCTTCTGAGCGGGACACAACGAGCTGTTCAGACCTCCCTCCACATGTCCGCGTCTTCCCGCCCTGGGCTGGAGTTCGGACAGGAGTTCAGACTGCTGTTCCAGCCATCCTCCCCCAGCTCCCCGGCTTCTCCATCTGCAGGCACAGGTCGGCCCGCCGTGCTTGCGGGGTAAACTCAGAAGAGAAATGAACATCCCAATACGAATATAAAAACGACGGAGCCAGCCTGGACCACACTGGTCTTTACACTGACAATGTCGTAAAACACCACTTTTTCATGGTTTTACGGAGGAGTCCCACCGCCGCCGCCCCCCCCCACCGCCTTCTGAGGTCTGAGGCCCCGTGGTGACTCCGCCTGGCACCTGCCTCCCTGTTCCTACCTCCGCATTTCCCCTCCCTCTCCTGCTGGCCTGTTGCTCGCACCCAGCCTGCTCCCACCTGCCAACCTTAAACACACCCAGGTGTCATAAGAAAAACAAATGAACCCCCGCACGACGCCCACCCTCCCTGGTCCAGAAACTCCCATCATGTTCCCGGCGGGCCCACTCCTGCCCCTCCCGGGCCCCTGCATCTGCCTTCTGCCCCGTCACCGCGCTGAGGTGCCCGGAGGCTCCCTGTTAGCACGCCCCCCCGGCCTGTCCCTCCTCGGCAGCCGTGGCACCACTGACTGGTCACCCCTCTTGACCACGGCCCCTCCTGCTTGCCCCACATGCATCCATCGTCCTGGCGTTTTCCCTCGTCCCCCCAGCCGCTTCCCTTCCTCCTCTCCTACCCACAGCTGCTGTCACCTCGCCTTGCGTCCACAGTGGCGCCCCTCAACGCCTGTATCACTTGCGCACCTGCGCCCACCCCACACCTGCATGCAAGACCCTCACCCTCTGCCGTGGCAGGTCCCTGGTGATCTGGACTGCGGTCCCCGTGCAGCCTCCACAGGCTGGGAGCAAATATTCCGCTGCCTGGCGAGCGTCCCCTCTTGGCGGTCTCCAAGTCCATCCGTTTAAAACTGAAGTCTTGCCACCTCTCTGCTGTCCCTCCCACCCCCAGGCTCGTTCTCTCCTGATCCATGCTGGTGTTTGAAGCCGTGACCCACTGGCAGCGCCCTCACCCACTTCTCAAGGCCACAGGTGTGGGACCAGGTCCACCCTGTCTCCCCAAGATGTCCGGGACCCCATCTCGGCGCCTCTCCTCTCTGTCCCGGCTACCCACCACCGGAACCCCTTCCCTGTGCACCCCGCGCTCTGAAGGCTGGGACCTCGGGTGTGGCTTGCCGCCTCCCACCCTCTCGGGCACCTAACCATACTGGCCAGACTCACCCTTTGCCTGGAATTCCTACTGACTCACCCACGGATCCCCAAGATCTCAGCTACGGATCCCGGAAATCTCAGCTCTGAACCCCGACCGGGTCAGCCCCATCTCACGTACACCCCAGGGCTATGCCCCTGCTCTGCGCACCCCCATCTGGTGCTCGGGGTCACATTTATCTGATTCTCTCTCACCTGCACTGAGCTCCCCTCCAAGGCGGGCCTGGCCCTCGAGTCCACACCAGACCTGCCGTTAGCAGGGTTCATTCATTCCCACTTAACCGGACAGGCAAATAATGAACACAGCCCTTTACTGGAGAAGATAAACAGGTGAGATCCAACTCAAATCTTCCAACAACCATAAAGAGATCCAGAGGCCAGGCTACGGAGATCCACGCTCTTAATTGGGATGGACCCAAAAATGTCCATATAAATGTATGACTTCTCAGCTAATTAGACACCTCCTGGCTCTCTCCTGAGACCTAAATGCAGTATTTTCTTTTAATTATCTATTCAAGCCTCTAAAAATTTTTGGCCAACTCCTATCTGAGTAAGAGTAGCCTTTGTCAGAAGACCAAACGATTGGGGACGGAAGGGTTTTTGAAAATGTCGCCCTTGGGCGCCTGGGTGGCTCAGTTGGTTAAGCGACTGCCTTCGGCTCAGGTCATGATCCTGGAGTCCCTGGATCGAGTACCGCATCGGG